CCGACCCTCCGAGAAAGTTTACCTGACTTCTTGTGTGTGTTAATTACCTGGGCGACTATCAAAAAGTGTAAAATATCTTGGGATCATATGGTTTCTTCTTGTCCCGATTACAGATATTCTGTTTCGTGGCAGTTTGACTCCTTATGAAGGCGTCGTTGATGATGGTTTTAAGACAAAGGTTTACGCTCTAAATTCCACTGAGGTTCACCTTTTCGTTTTCAAAATAAGCAGTTGAAGGCCTGTGCTTTGAAAATAAGGCTTATTTGTACCTTCCTTTCTTTAAAAGCATATGTGTAAATTCCTGTGGTCCTGTATAGTTGTCTGATGTTGGCCAGATTTGAACCTAGTACCTATTACTGAGGAGATACACTTGAACATCGTTCATTATAATATGATAAAACAGAACAGATAATTTTTGTTTCCCTTCTGTACTTTTATAGGGCTTAGCTTTTCCATACTGTGAACGGATCATAAAAGTACATTTTTAAATTTCTACACTGGTAGATGTTTACATGTGTTTGTGTTCTTCAGCAGTATGTGTAAGTTGTAAGGGGCAACGTGTGTTGGCATGTGCATGTGCCTTTCTATTTGTATAGATATATACATTTCATATACGACTATTAATATATATGCGTATGAAAAGAAAAAAGAGAAAAATCCGAATTGATAGAAAGGGCCTGAAGGACCCGGAAGACAGCTTTTGTTGTTTCCGTTCTTTAGTTTTTAACTTTTTAAAAATCAACAATATAGTGAGTGTACGCGCTAATACAACTTAATATCTCCATGTTGTAAAAAAACAAATTGTCAGTGTAGATGCTCTTTTGCGAAGGAACTCGAAATATTGTGAAAATTTTATCACTTGTCCATCTTTACGCCTCATAGGGGGTGCCCACTACGGCTGGATCGGGCCGATCGCCCGACTCGATCGCCTGAAACTGAGAACAAACACGTTTGTTTTTGAGGCGATCGAGTCGGGCGATCGGCCTGATGGGCCGATCCCATCTGTAGTGGGCACCCCCTATAAGAGTTCTTTCCAAGGATGGCTGCTACTGTTACCAACAAGCGTAGTATCTGTTGGTTTATAACCCCCCCCCCCCCCCCTCGTGTCTACCTCATCGGTTCCAGGGTCCTTTGTTATCTTTTGGCGTATAGTTCCAACTCTTTGACAATGTATACATTGATTTTTGTGCTTATTGCCCCCCCCTCCCCCTCCCTTTCAGACTTCTCGCCTCTGATGAAAGATGGGCTTCGCTTCGAAATGTTAGATCAGCCCTCTCTATGCGCGAGACCAATTTATCTCGCTGATTTTTAAAATCTTTTTTGGGTGTAATTTCTCATTTCGTGTAAAGTTTTGAAACCCTCTTTGTCCGTTTCCTGTAGAACAGGAGGCGAGAATCTGATGGGATTGGTTTTCCTGCGCGACTGTCGTGAATTATACTCCTCATCTTGCGTCAGTGCTTGGATGTGGTCTGGTGTCCCGGCTGGAGTGACGCGGCGGTGACCCAGACTTAATAAAACCCGACTACTTGGTCGAGGAGTGGCACTTGTACTGATCGCCTCCACGCAATTCCATCACAATACTGTATGATCGATTGCTATCTCTTCCCTTTTTATTGCAGGTCCTTTCCTTCATTTCGTATTGCAGGACAGGGGAGTATGACTATGAGATTTTTCCCCTGCCTTGTCGTTTCGCGAGATGCCGATACGGTCGTTCTCTCCTACGATAATGGTATATTTAGTATGGCGTTGTGATTTGTATGTATGTTGAATTTTTTTTCGTTCTCTCTCTCTGTCTCTGTCTCTCTCTGTCTCTCTGTCTCTCTGTCTCTCTGTCTCTCTCTCTCTCTCTCTCTCTCCCCATCTCTCCCACACACACACACTCTCTCTCTCTCTCTCTCACACACACACTCTCTCTTTCTTTCTTTCTCCCCCTCTCTCTCTCTCTCTCTCTCTCTGTGTGTGTGTGTGTGTGTGTGTGTGTGTGTGTGTGTGTGTGAATGTGTGTGTGTGTCTATCTCTGTCTGCCGTTCTCTAAGAAGTGTTTCTGTTTAAACCTTCTCAGGGAAGGTACATGTACTTGAATTGGAGCCAGTCGGCCTTGATTGTTGTTTTTTACAAAAGGGTTGTCTGGAAAATGAGTGCAGAAACAGAAATAGACTTCGAGGTTTGGAGTACATGGAAAAAGGTTTAATTATTATAGTGGTCATGGCGACGGTCCTGTTGATGGCATTGATTCATGTGAATGTGTGGGAGGGGAAGGACACTAAGGGTTATAAAGGTTAGGCTTTGTTTTGACACCTTTCTCACCGCCATATTTTCTGGAGAGAGGTCAACGGCTCTCCAGAAGACAAATGTAGTTGTCCCGGGCACACTTCAGCGATAGCTGTGATGGAAATGGATACACGCATACACACATAGGCACATACATACACACAAACATACACACATAAACACACACATACACACATACACCCGCACACACTCAAACACACACTCATACTTACAGAGAGACAAAAAGAGACAGACAGACAGACATACAGACAGACAGACAGACAGACAGAAAGAAAGAGAGATTCGGGTAGAGAGAGAGAGAGGGAGAGGGAGAGAGAGAGAGAGAGAGAGAGAGAGAGAGAGAGAGAGAGAGAGAGAGAAAAGCGATAAATGTGACGAAATTGACACAGTTGTTTTAAAATGAAGTGTTTGTTTTATCTAGCTACTTATGCGCTGCGTTAGACTTGTATCACTTACGAGTATGTCTCCCTCAAACACTTATCGGTATGTGTGACCCCATTGACGCTATACGTCGAAAACGGTGGTCTTGATCCTATTCCAGCTGCCATGATGTCGAATCTGTGCCAACCTTCTCTGTTCTATGTACCGGTATCAGTCGGAAGCTCAGTATATTATAGTTTTCTTTGTCAGAATGAGGTCCGCGAGTGGAGCTTTACATTGCTTTCATTGCACAGCTGGGTCACATCACGTGATCGACATCCTGAGCGTCGATAGGAAGGAGATTCCACTCCGGTCAAAAGCTCCCTTGTATCATCGCTACTACTGTTGTGACTCTGTCTTATTTTATTTCAGGGATCGTGCATCTAGAAGTGTGTTCGCTTACAAGTGTTGTCGAACTATTGTTTGGGGGTAATGCAGCTACCAAATGTATTCAAAGCGTTTACTTAAAATATTGAACGGGGCCAGTTCCTTCGTTCGAAACGTTGCCAGTGTTTTACTTGATTTTAAATGACTTCTCCAGGTATGATGGGATGTCAACCGACTCGTCGAATTTTAGTCTGCAATTTGCTCCAACTGTCCTTTTAGTGACCAATACCCTCGACATTTCCAAGCAATCGCATTGAAAGTACCCATTTTATGAGCACTTGAGACAATGTTATCTTTACAGGACGGGTTTCCATATGAAGACAGTCACAAACCGTGTGGATGCGAATTTCATGGACAGAAAAAAGCTTTATTCACACTCTGATACACATATATACTGATACGTATACACCCTTTCTGTTTATGAAAAGTTCGAGACGACATCATGAAGAGAAGATTCATTCTGTGGACGTAGAACGTTCCAGTTATCTTTTGTAGATGTTTTTAAAAGCACATTTTGTAATTGTGGTAAAAGTGTGGTATAATATATTGTTAAATGAATGTTTTATCTATTTCTGTGTTAGAACCTGACTCGTGTCCCCTCGTACCGACCAAATCCACGAGAGTTGCAGAAAAAGAAAACAGAACTAAAAAGAAAACCTGTACGAATAACGCAGTTCTGCTTCTTTTTTTAAAAAGTACTTTTTGTTTCTGACCTCATGGTCTTATTGACTCAAAACGGCCAAATATGTCAGATAGAACTTTGTAATTTCGAGGTAGCAAATGGTTCAGCCGGTATCGTGATTTACTACGATACAGATGTCCCTGTTCCAGATTCCACCCAGATGTTCTTATACTAAAATTGTTTGGGGAATGTTCAAGGCTGCTTACCTGGCTTAGTCCTGTCGGAGATGGACGTTAAATTTGGAAGTCCTGTCTCTTAAATGACCATAGCTTGTCAGAAGGGGTTATTAAAACTATACATTTCACGCTGGCTCGTACGGTATGGTCTCTGTAGAGTTCAGCAGGCTGTTTCATTTTTGAATTTGATAATTGATGCAGTTTGTAACGAGCAATGTGCTGTCAAGCGTGAAAGAAACAGTTCTGAAATGATCTGATAAACAGCTGTTTGAAACTTTGTAATTTAGTCCTAGCTGTATTATCGGAACAAGGAAAGATAAAAACCAAGTCTAATGTTTCCTGACTTACGGGCACTCCCTTCCAACGACTACATAGTTTTATATCTTCAGCTTGAAACAAGTTTTATCGCATACGTAGCGTATAATCTATTATTCAGTGTGTGGTAGTAAAACGAAACCTACTTACGCTCACACACGCACCGCGCACACACGCTCTCACGCGCGCGCGCACACATACACACACACACACACACACACACACACACACACACACACACACACACACACACACACACACAAACACACACACGTACACGAACACATGCACACAAACACACACACACCCACACATTCACACACTCGCATTTGCGTTTGCACACAGGATCAAACACCCCAAAGTACCCACCTGCATTCACGCACCCCCCCCCCCCCGCCCCCCCCCCGCCCTGCGCCACACACATACTCGTGTATACACTCGCGAACACACAATTAACATACACACATTAAACAGAGAGAGAGACAGACAGACAGACAGACAGACAGACAGACAGACAGACAGACAGACAGACAGACAGACAGACAGACAAAAGGGAGAGAAAGAGAATGTAATATGTGTGTGTGTGAGAGAGTGTTTGTGTTTTACACACACTCCTCGCTCTTTCTCCCTCTCCCTTTATTATTGTAATCTTTCCGCATAAAAATCTGCAATCACTGAAGCATATTGTATTATCAAATTTCAATACTTCTCTCACGCTTTCCTTTCAGGTGGTGACCTAGTGTAGGTGGCCAAGCTACACCAGTTCTTCATTACCAAGTGTAAACACGGGGATGATGTCAGAACACGAAACCCGGGACGCCAGAGGCCGACAGTGTTACTCTCACCTGAGTTATGCATCGTATCGATTTCCTCGGTCTTAGCGGTGCAAGGGTGGGTGAGTGACATAAATATTAGTATTGGAGTCGAAGTATCACACCATCGTGACAAGCGTCGATTCAAGTCCGAATAATTCATAATTGTTCGACTTGGGGCATTGGCAGTCCCTGTTTAATTAAGTCGAACGTAAGTGAGATGTGTTGAGTTTGGATCGTATAATTTATGATTCCACTTGTGCTCCTCGAATATTTGGGTGATCTACGGTTTGCAGTGGCGATGTAAGGCGGACAGGTAAATGTTGTGGCCATTCCAGGTACTACAATGCTCAGGAAATACATAACTCTGTGGAAGCGGTCTCCGTTTGAGAAATGTCGCTTCTGGCCGCTGCTGACCACTTTAGTGCTCCTCATCATCCTACTGCAGGTATGGCACATGGCGCTCCTGTCCCGCCTGGAGGCCAAGGATGCTCAGCGCGAGGACTCGAGGTCTTTGGTGGGCCGGCAGCTTCAAGGTCGGATGTTCAGGACAGTCCTGGAGGAGATGGAGGAGCGAGTGACCAACTCGTACCGCTTCGACCGCAGTGGAACCTACCACGTCCTCGACAACTTCTTGACCTCCGAGCACGTGGTTCGCGGTCGGAACTTGTATGACGTCAGCGTCGTGACCCAGTGCTCGTCCAATCATCTCCACCACCTCTCGGACCTCGCCCAGCGCTGGAATGGGCCCATCTCCGTGTCCGTGTTCACTTTCGACGACGATTTCGTCCACACTGTGTCGAGCATGCTCCATTTCCACTTCTGCAACGATCACATCTACCGCCACGTCAGCTTTCACCTAGTCTATCCCATTAGTCGCGCGCCGAAACACCTCGAAGGTCTGAGGGACCTCAAATTGTCGTGCGCTGACCACGACCCTTCTTCCTCCTCGAGTGTAGACCTCAGTCCCGCCCAGCTCGGCGCAGGACCCAGCGTCGCGAATTACGCCAGCGAGGACTTAGAGTACCCCAACAACCTGTTGAGGAATCTCGCCATCAACTACGCCCAGACGCCATACATTTTCATGATAGACGTCGACATGGTTCCTTCGGAGAACCTCCGCCAGGAATTCCAAAAGCTGATGTCTTCACACATCCAACACCCTCACTTTCCCGTCGCCACCACCAAAAACAATAGCAGCAGCAGCAGTGGTGCTGACGCAGCTGTGGCCAACCCACTTTCAGCCTTTGTCGTGCCAGCATTTGAAATTCAAGAAAAGGTGCCAATCCCAAATACAAAATCTGAATTATTAACGCTGTGGTTGAAGACACAGGTGAGACCCTTTTATTGGGAAGCGTGTAATCCTTGTCAGAAATTGACTGACTATGACAAGTGGCGACGGCTGGGTAAAGGAGGTCCGCTGGCTGTAGCATATTCAGTGGAGAGAAATGCGTTATGGGAACCCTTCTACATTGCCAAGACCTCAGTGCCACTTTATGATGAGCGTTTCAAGCAGTACGGATTTAATCGTGTCAGTCAGGTAGGTAGCTTTGTTGAGTCATGCCTGAATGCATATTTGAGAGCGTGCAGTTTTCGAATGTGTGTTAAACGTTTTTTAAAATCAAAATCTTACGCTCTTGGGAGTGATTTCTTTCCTTTTCTCAGTTTCTCTCTGTTTTGTCTGTCTGCCCGTGTATCTCTCCCCACTCCCCCCTCTCTCTCTCACGCTCTTTCTCCCTCTGTCTGTGTGTGTGTGTGTGTGTGTGTGTGTATGTGAGTGAGTGTGAACGTGTGTGTGTTTGTGTGTGTGTGTGTGTGTATGTGTGTCTGTGCATGCGTGCGTGCATGAATGTGTGTGTGTGTGTGTGTATGTGTGTGTCTCCCACAGGTGTTTTATCTCTCTTCCATGGTGTCACTCCCCTCTCGTGCATTCTCTCCCGTCTCGTCCCAGTACCCATCCTCTTCCCTATCAACTTTTTGTGTATGTTTGTTTTTGCATACGCTTCTCCAAAAAAACAACCAAAAAAAACCAAAAAAAACCCGGGTTTTTAAAAACCTTGTCTGCCCTTTTTACTTCGCTGTATCCTTTTTTCTGGGATTTTTTTTTCGTTTTATCGCCGATAACGCATGAACTTTGCCGTGTGTTTGGCAAAGAAGCAAAACATCTATATTGACCCCCATAACGAGATTTGTTTTACAGTGCAATTCATAACTATCCAAAGAGGGGGAGAGAGAGAGAGAGAGAGAGAGAGAGAGAGAGAGAGAGAGAGAGAGAGAGAGAGAGAGAGAGAGAGAGATGAAAAATGAAAAACACGTGGAGGTTGGGGTGGGGGGATAACAGAGGGATTAAGAAAGTAAGAGAGCAAAAAGAACAGTCTTTATTATCCCTGAAACCTACACGTCCATTCATGTGACTCACACCTACACGTCCATTCATGTGACTCACAAGACAGGTGCCATGGCGTTTTCTAATCCCGGTATTTGCAAGACGCCCCCGGTAGATTTTGAACGTCATTTTTGTCTTTGCCCGAGCATCTGTTCAGCTCCTGGAGAATTCTCTGTTCTCCGAGTCTAAACAACCTCTTACTTACTCTAGTGATTGCCCTTCGTACTCCTGTCTTCACATTACTTTAATTAATATGATTTTAGTGAACTGAAGAATTATGACTGAAAAATTGGAAGTGAGTGGGTGGTTGGCGCGCGCTCAGGTGTGGTTTAATCTTTCTTTCCTTTCAAACATCTACCGTCCTTATCTCTCATCCTCTTTCTTTATATACAACTCTCTAGTAACTCATCTAATCTTCGGCCATAAAACTCTTTCATGAAACTAAAAATACTCAAAGTAAAGGGTGAATTATTTTTTCCTAATTTCACACTTCTCTCTGTCGCCACACTCTTCTAGCTTTGTTTGACTGTTGCTCCTGTGCTCTGTCTGGAATTGTGTCGTTTATTATAATCGATGTTTCCGCTTTCTCCCCGTTCGTCAGCTGCGCTAAAAACGGTTCACATCCTCTCTCAAATTTATGTGTACTTTTCTTTATTTCTCTGGCCAAATTACGGTAATAAGTCGACGATTTTAAGCGTGCCCCTCAGAGGCTGTCATTAAATTGATGTGTGTGTTTCTCAGCCCGACACTTCCATCCAGACGTGTTTATCAAGTCGATATTAGTGGAAGTGTTCTCTTTTTAAAACTTTCTTTATTCGTAGAGCAGATGGGAACTATCTGACCTACAAGGGAAGTCATTAAAAATGTTAAAAACCCTTCCTTTGGCAAAAGATAAAGAATACACAGAACACTTTTAAAATCGAAGTGGTCATACCCTTTCACGCCTGCCACATATTTCATGTCTAAGTCTATTATTAGTGTGAAAGAAGAACATGCAGTTCGTTTTTGTGGTTGCTCTGGCAGGCTTGGATTGTTCGATCACAAGGGTGTTAACATTGTTTGTTCGAAAACTTCTAGCCAATGTCGTGGTCTTG